CTGGTTAAGGAGCGCACAACAGGCCCGATAGAGGCCTAGGTGTATTTCTTCGGATTTGATGTATATTCATCCGCCTTTCAAACTAACTAACTAACTAATCGACATATACATACCCAGCAAAAACTCGGTAATGGGTTGTACTTCCATAACCACTTACTTTCCAATGACTACTACTTACTCTAGTAATGACTTTCTTATAATCTGATATAGAAGTACTTTATTTTCGGCTTTGTCGTTTTGTTTGCACATTTTATTTAATTGCGTGTTAAGAATTGTGTTTTACAAAAAAGAAAACAAAATGAAATTTTGTGAAATCCATTATTTAACGCGCAATAAAATAGCGAACCGAAGACCCTGGTACATATTCAAGGTGGCTCTTTTTATTATTACTAATACATACATACATACATACATACATACATACATACATACATACATACATACATACATACATACATACATACATACATACATACATACATACATACATACATACATACATACATACATACATACATACATACATACATACATACATACATACATACATACATACATACATACATACATACATACATACATACATACATACATACATACATACATACATACATACATACATACATACATACATACATACATACATACATACATACATACATACATACATACATACATACATACATACATACATACATACATACATACATACATACATACATACATACATACATACATACATACATACATACATACATACATACATACATAAATACATACATACATTTGCTTATATCTCCGTTATTTATGGACGGATTTTACTGACGGATTACTGAGGATTTGGATCCCGAAGATATCTGGGGTCTTCAGAAAACGTATTTTAACAGACGCGCAGACGGACATTAATCAACCCCACTATCTATAAGGATTCAGAATATATATACTTTATAGGGTCGGAGAACTATATTCTGAAAATTACAAACGGGACGACTAACTTATATATACCCTTCTCACGAAGGTGAATTTTTTTTTAATAAAATTATTTTTTTTTGGAAACAACGAAGAAATAGCTGAACCTGAATCTGAACTCCTTTGGACAAGCCCGGCAGTTATTGATCGATAGTGCTGAAAATTTGTGTGGCCTTCTTTCTAATAGTGCAAAACTTGACACGAAATTGCTCATATACTACATTTTAACAAAAATTTTACTGATTCCATAAAACTAAAATTTGTAAAAATATATTACTTACTAGCTATACCCAGTGTGCTTTGTTACCCTAAAATCAATGTATATAAAAAAAAACAATTTACGATTTTGAAGATTGTAATTATAATTGTTTTCCAGATATACATTTTTTACATTTTGGGGATGCCACGCAAATTATTGCAAGTTCGCCAATTTTTCCAAACGTTAATTTAGACTTGAATGTAACCTATTAAAAATTTTAATAATATAATAGTTTCCCAGATGTACCAAATTTTGTATTTAATTCATATGGCTAGCTCTAATAGTTTCCCAGATAAACGAATTTTTGTATATTTTATTCATATGGGAGGAGCAACGCACCCCCCCCCCCAAAGATAGTCCACCAATTTATTACACAAAATGTTTACATGGATAATACATGGGTGGTGCCACGCCCCCTACTGCTAGTACGCCCCCTTTTTCATTAAATAATCATATTGACACTAAAGCGGTTCCGACAAAATTTGAGGACTCTATCTGTTATATTTTCTCAGATATATTTATTTAAGATTTTCTTCATATGGAAGGTGCCACGCCCACTATAGGCATTCCGGCCATTTTATCCAAAAATATTGTTATAGATGTGAAAGTTGTCCATACAAAATTTGAGGACTCCAACTCTTGCAGTTTCTGAGATATGCGACTTTTAATACTTATTTTGAATGTGGGCGTGGCACCTCTCCTACTTTTTCGAAATAAAAAGTAGCCTATAGTTCCTTCCAGACATACAGGAAGAGACTCTGAAAATTTCAATAAAATCGGTTCAGCCGTTTAGCCGTCTATATATTTCAAACAAACAAATAAACACACATTAATTTTTATATATATAGATATAGGGTAGAAGGATTGCCATAGGGGAACATAATCGATTTTATCGCATTATCAAATTACCTATCATCCGTGAAAGTTTGAAATATTAACTTTACATATGATAGGCCGACGTGATTAATTGTTTTTCAAAGGGCTGTGAAAATATTTTAGTGTGTGAATTTTTTGTGCTAACTTTTTTAGTTTTGATAGAAAAAATATATTGGTCAGTAGTAAACAATAAGATATAATAATTTTTTCGATAATATAATTTGAAGCCCGAAAAAATTGAAACAAAACCCCAGAACTGCCCGTGGGGCACCAAATATATGTAATGCTTGTGATGTAGAAAAAAATTTGGTTAAAATATAGAAAGAATCAGTAATAATTTGTTTTAATTTTTTTTGTTAAGTTATGTGAAATAAACAATAAATGTCTGGTTTATTATATTTATGAATTAAAATATAAAACAGCGAAATAAGTTTTTATTTTTCAAATATTTTGGTTTATTTTACTAATGACAAATCTGCCCCATCCTCTTGGTTTATTTACCCCATGTATGGGGCGGTATAGCCCTTTTTGGTCATTGCGAAAAAATTAAAAAATATGTACATTAGGATGACTTAGGAAAGATGTAAGGGATAAAACTAAAGCCAACATATCTAAGTAGCCGAACCAATAATAAAATTAAGAATTGGTATTGTGGTTTTAATTTGAAGCCGCCTCCAAAAAAATGGCGTATAGTTCCCCTTCTACCTACAACAACTCAATTCTCATTCTAGAAAGTATTATTTTGTACTGTTAAAACTGAAATACTTATACATAAAATGTTATTACCAAATAAGAATTCATGTTATTACATTCCAAAACTTGTTTTATTGTTGTTTTCCATTTATTGAATCAGCAAAATATTTACTGAAAATTAAATTTATGTCAATAAAACGTTTGTTAGAAAATATTTTCCTTCTGCGTAAAAATCAAACAAATTCGATATAAAAAATTTTGCATATTTTTCTGTGTGTATACAAATAGAATAATGTTGTCGACGGTCATATGAATAAATATATATATATATATATATATATGTTTTTGCAAGGGATGCTAATAGTTATTGAGCTAGTCTAATAGTCTTGGGATGATGGGTTCGATGTCCCCTAGATGCTATGGTATATTTAACAAGGTGATGTCATTGGAGGCAATAACTTATCACAATCGATTACAAGTAATTAGAAGAAGTATTCATTGCAAATCACATGAAGTATACAGCTTCTTCACTGGCAAGATGAATAATGAAGTATTTATAAAACATATTATTAGTAAGACCTGGATTACATGGAAGTAGTCTATGTAATCCAGACAATATGTAATAGCCTTTGAAAAGTATGTTGTTTCTGTTTCAAGTTTCAAGAAATTAAAATTAGAATTTTGAGAAGGCTGTGTAAAAATTAACATCATTTGACCATAGCTTAGAAGAATATGGAATATATATATACATATATATAAGATTTCAGAGCCGGCAACTCTTAACAAAGAACAAATTTAAAGAAAATAAATGAACAAATTATAAAAAGTCTCACTTTTGAGTTGTAAAATTACATTATTTTGCTTTTATTATATTATATTTATATTATGCGATTTGATTAAAAATTTCAGAGTTTTACTATAACATAAAAAAATACAATAATCAGACTAACATTTCCAGAAAATCTTAAATGTATGTATGTGTATTAGGGTGATCGATTATTCGACATTTTCCAAAAACCGGTTTTCGAATAGTTCGAATAGTTGACATTTAAAAAAAAACCGGTTGATATTTTTCAAATTCAGAAAAAACCGGTTAACCGGTTTTTCATTACAATTAAAAAAAATATATTTTAATTTGAAAAACTTAATGTTTATGTTTAAATTTGATTAATAAAACATGGCCCGAAATGATTTTTAACAGTTTAAAAGATTATAACTTTAGATCTAGTCGTCTGATTTACATTATTTCTTTAATATAAAAAAAATTAGGAAAAAAGTGGGACACTTCTGTTAAACATAAGGTACTATGTAATCCTAGCTTATTTTAAAAGCCCTGTTTAGGAAATTTGCATAGGCATTCCAACACTTCCATAAAATTTCAGCTTAAATTAATTATTTTAATTGGAATATAATCTTAAGATTGCTAAATTTTATCAAACAGTTATCCATTTTACAAATAATTTTTTTTTAATTAATTAGGAAAATCAAAAAAGTTTAACCAAAAGAGCTGTAGAAAAATATACTCTAGTTCCTCGACTCGAATATTTTTAAAATTTAGACGGGCTGTATTATTAATTACTTAAAAATTTCATTTAAATAATCTTTGAATACAAAGCAAATAAAAGTATTCGAAACCGGGTTTAAAAAAGTGAAAAAACCGGGTTATTCGATATTCGAAAAATCAACATTAAGAAAAAAACCGACACTGGTAAAGCAGAAAAAAACGGTTTTAAAACCGGTTGAAAAATCGAGTCGATCACCCTAATGTGTATTCACTTCATACATCTGTGTACCAGTTGACATAAAATGGAAGTGCTAATTACATACATTTTATGCATTTTTAATAACAATTTTTCTATGAAGAAAAATGTACATATCAAAATTTTAAAATTGTTTTTTTTCGCAACATATTTAGGTATTTTAATTAAGTGGTATGTATAACAAGTAACTGAAGCATTTATTTCCATCTAAATTATTTATTTTTAAACATATATTTATTCCAACAAAACTTCAATGTAGCTCAAAGATGAGTCGAAGACAGTGGTTGTGGTGCAAATTGTAATCAGGCTAAAATAGTTGTTGTTTGGCGGGGTGTTTTAAGAAAAGAAAAAAAAAGAATTATAATGAAGTTCGTTATATTAAATCACAAAAACAAAAGCCAGTCTTTGTGAGTTGTTAGTTATTTTCAGCACGTATAAATACCGGTGTTTGAACAAATTTCAAATTTAATTCAGTGCTCACTTTCGCTTGCAACGGTTCGTGTGATTTTTTCTCTTTTTTATTTTAAATTTGTCTTTTTAAAATTATATTTCATAATAATACTTCAAAAACATACAAAAAATAGAACGTTTCCGTTTCATAGTTAAAAGGGTGTATCTGTAATTCAAAAAAAGTCGAAACTCTTTATTATTACAACAAAATTAAAATACTCTTAAACGTAATCAATTCAATTAAAATAAATAGTTTTGAAAATTAATTGAAAATAGCAAAACAAATAAAAAAATGAAAGTCTTTTGCGCTGTTATTGTTGCTTTATTTGTGGTCGTAGCCAGTGTTTGGGCTGCTGGCGAGAAGGATAAAGCCACCGCCACCTCCACATCCACCGAAGGTGAAATCAAAATCTATAAACGACTCATTCCAGCTGATGTGCTTAGAGGTAAGATACAATTCGTAAAACAAGAAATGTTACAAAGAGGCCTTTAGCTTTTGCTATTAACTATAACCAAAGAATATAAATCATATAGAATGCGCATCTCATATAATAACAAAGAGCGTTATAATTTATTGCTCTCATCGTATGTACATACATACGTACTAATATGAGTTAGTGCATATTTCTTTTTGTCACATCGAGATTACTTATTATGCTGTCAGATTTTAGCAGAGCAAGATCATAACTGATGCTGCCATCTGCTAGTTTTTGTTTCGATTATTATATATAGAAAATTTTTTATAAAAATTTAATTGAATTTAAAAAGTTTTTTATTTGTGTTTTTTATTAGATTTTTTTATTCAAATTGAAATTTTATAACTTTTTTTAAATAGAAAATTTATAAAAATTTTAAAAATAAGTTTTTATTTAAAATGCAAATTGCCATTTTTTGTGAGTAAGAATACTGATAAAAAGAAATACAAGAGAGCGGGTCGTGATGCGCATTCTATTATGCACATTCTTACAAACATAAATGAGTAATATGAGAACAATGTCTTTGGAAGCATAGGTTTTAAACAAAAATTAAGATTTGTTGTTCCTTAGTAGGCCACATTTTAATATTTGTAATATAAAAAAATATACTAAAAATTAAAAAAAAAAAACAAAAAAAATTGATGAATTTTATAAAATTTACACTCTAGTAGCTTAATTATACCTCCTGAGACATGTCTATTGGTAATGGTAATTCAATGTTTTACAATTACATATTTCTTTGTTCATCGGCTCCACTGTGCATGGTAAAAAACATTGAGGTCGTTACAGCTGGTTGAATTGGACATTATTTGAACAATAGTTAATTAAAAAACAATGCGCACAAGTTTTTGATTGTTAAAATAATTGTGTTCACAAAAAGACAAACCTTGGCCCTAATAATACAATAGCGTTTATTCCGAACATTCATATTAACTTTTTTTAAGTGGTTAATTATTTAAGTGCATTTGTATGTATGAAATTAAAACAAATATCCGACATGTTTAAGAAATATGGATGCATCGAAGCAAAACAGTGCAGAAATTTAAAAAGTATTTTACTTGGATATATTTCTTATTACTAAAGCAAAAATTATGTCTTAAATAATATTAAGATTATGATCGATCCATGAATACATGGTTTGTACAGCGGTCAAATGAGGTCCGACCAAAATAAGCGTATAATTAACGCTTATATGTATAAAACTTAGTTTTGCCGTTTTTTTTAAATGAATGGTGACTTTTGTGTGTAAGAAATATAAATAAATAAAAGAGAAAAAACATAGTCTCGGGATAAAAGACTTTGAATGTTTTACATGATTTTATTATGTATTTCTGAGTTTGAGTTTAAACTAGATTTTTAACAATAACATATATCGTTGAAAATAATATACATACATAAATACATATGTATACACATATGTATCTATTTGCCAAATTTACTATCAGCGCCGTAGCGTGTATCGTTGAGTGTCGTAATTCTTTTATGTTTTAAAAACAAGTCTATGACAATAAAGCTACGACTGTGAATTGTACAATTGTAAAACACTATTAAAATATATTTAGCAATGCAAGACTAGTTTAACATAAATCGACTTGTAAATGCTCAGATATAGATTATTTTCTAGCTTCGTAACTGATATTTTATTCTCAAAGTTTCATTAATCGAGTGGTGTATGTATGTATATCATATGGTCGGGTACGACTCTCCATACTTGTTTATTTTTTATTTTTACTTAAAGCTGAATGCTGGCGTAATTAAAGTTATGTATATGATCGCTTTTTTATCATTGTGCATTAAGCAATTAAGCTGAAAAAAAGAAAGTTGTCGAAAACTAATGACCATATGTTAGTTTTGCAGATTAAATCTGTTTAAAACCAGAAATTGATGCTTAACAGTCAGATGCATAAAGCCACATAAGTAAATCAGTTATGTAAAAAAGTTGTCGTCTACTTACGTAAATGAACATTAAGGTGCTACGTTTTATATATTAAAAAAATAACATTAAATTCGTTTGGACGTTTTCTGTGAGTATAAGTACACGTCCAAACGTACTTAAACTTTTTATCGAAAGAAATTGGTTTTTGAAATAAATGTTAATGAATAATGTTATTTACCAGCGTACAAGCTATTTAAAATAAAACATTAAAAAGACAACACATTTCATTAAACATATTTTTCCTTTGATCTACTTCACTATTATTGATATAGTAAAGATGAATGGCTTACATTTTCATTTTATTTTCGATTATCTGTAATGTTCACACTGTGATTTATTAAACTATTTTACAAATTTTGGAAAATTAGTAATTTGGATTTTTATTTCGAACTTTGATTTTCTTAATTATATATGGATAAACATCCTACTTATTCGGGTTTGAGTTCGTCATTTTTCTTTTTCAGTAATTCTATTGAGAATTACATATTAAACTTAAACACAGTTTAAACTGTTTAAGTTTAATATGTGATTCTCAATAGAATTACTAAACAAGTAAGAAATTATAGTCGGGCTAGGCCGACCATATAATACCCTACACCTGTTACAAAATTAAAATGTGATTTAGTTTTCATAATAAATCATTTAAGTTGAATTGTACCTTGTCTCAGATGTACTTAAGCCATTTATTGTTGAATAAAATTGTGGATATTTAAGCCAAATTTTGAAGTTGGCTTTGTATAGGGACTATGGTCAAATGAGACCCTATAATTGTAAAATTCATGAGAGTCATCAAGGCTAGTATAGAACTTGGTTTTGCAGCTTTTTGTCGAGATACGAGTATATTAAACATAATTATGAACTTAAGAGCCTTATTCAGCGGGTTCAGTTGTATGGCGGCTAGGTGAAATGGACCGATGTTAACCATTTTCAATAGGCTTCGTCTCCGGTAACATAGAAGATCATTGAATTACCTTCAAAATGGCGACCTGTAGTTTAATTACAAGGTTTACAAGCCCTATTCGGGGGTTCAGTTGTATGGGGGCTAGGTGAAATAATAGACCGATAATAGACCATTTTCAATAGGCTTCGTCTATATACTATACTATAGAAGATCGTGAGTCAAATTTCATTGAATTATCTTCAAAATTGCGACCTGTAGTTTGATTACAACTTAAGTAGCAAATTACAATAATTTACCAATATATACATGTAATTATGTTAAATCTTTATTACATTTTATATGTATATATTTTATTAAAAACTTTGTTAAAAAGCTCATATTTCTATTTCAATATTTAAAATAAATATGTGCAAATAAGCCCAAAAACAATATGTGCTACTCTTAAACTAAAAAAAATATTAGTTTTGTTTTAGATTACTATTATTTCTAAATTTCAGTTTTCCAAGCATGCCTTGTTGTGAAGATGAGAGTACAACTAAGTATTTCTCATTTCTTGTTTTTTTCGCTCTTACACTTATACAAGTTCAAAATGTGGTAGTATATGTCTGCGATCCCTGTTTTAAATCAAATTATTAATCAAGCTCGAGGTCATAGTTTTATTAAATTCTTGTCGTCTTTAAACACGTCACTATGCTTTTATATGCAATATTAAATGTAAAAGCATTTAATAGTGGGGAGGGTATATTGGGTTTGTGCTGATGTTTGTAACATACAAAAATATTCGTCCTGAAATCGGTCCATTATTTCACCTAGCCCCCATACAACAGAACCCCCGAAAAGGGCTTCTGAGCTCATAATTATGTTAAATATACCTGTATATCGATACAAAGTAGCACAACTAAGTTTTATACAAGCCTTGATGACCTTGCCAAATTTCATAAAGATCGGGCCTCATTTGACCCTAGCTCCCATACAAAGTCCCCTTCCGAAAATTACTTGAATATCCAAAATTAATTATAAACACATATATCGCGATGAAATTCAGCACAAATAAATATTATATAAATATAAAAATATTCACAAAATTTTATGTGGCTTGGTCCATATTTGCCTCTAGCCCCCATATAAAGCCTCTTTCAGAAAATTAGTCATCCATAAATTGTTTAAATGTATCGGAATAAGGTAATATTGAAGATAAATGCTTTATTGTGAAAAATAAATCACATTTAATATTCATTACTGGTGTAGGGTATCACGCCCGTCTATACTTTCTTACTTGTTTTATTTTTTGTTTATTGTTACTCATTATACCCTACACCACTTCAGTGCATGTAAACCTTGTAATCAAACTACAGGTCGCAATTTTTAAGATAAAAAATGAATTTTGGTATATGATCTTCTATTGTCCCATGGACGAAGCCTATTGAAAATGGTTAAGATCTGTCCATTATTTCACCTAGCCCCCATACAACTGAACCCCTGAATAGGGCTTGTAAACATTTTAATCAAACTACAGGTCGCAATTTTGACGATAATTCAATTTGGCACATGATCTTCTATGGTACCGAAGACGAAGCCTACTGAAAATGGTAAACATCGGTCCATTTTTTCACCTAGCCCCCATACAACTGAACCCCTGAATAGGGCTTGCAAAGCTTGTAAACAAACTACAGGTCGCAATTTTGAAGATAATTCAATGAAATTTGGTACATGATCTTTTATGGTACCGGAGACGAAGCCTGTTGAAAATGTTTAATGGTTATTTAACCTAGCCCCCATACAACTAAACTCCTGAATAGGGCTTGTAAAGCTTGTAATTAAACTACAGGTCGCAATTTTGAAGACAATTCAATGAAATTTGGGACATGATTTTCTATGGTACCGGCGACGAAGCCTATTGAAAATGGTTAACATCGGTCCACTATTTCACCTAGCCCATATACAACTGAACCCGACGAATAGGGCTTTTGAGTTCATTATTATGTTTACTAAACTTGTATCTCGACTAAAAGCTGCAAAACCAAGTTCTATACTAGCCTTGATGACTCTCATGAATTTTATAATTATAGGGTCTCATTTGACATAGCCCCTATACAAATCCCCCTTCAAAATTTGACTTAAATGTCCACAATTTTATTCAACAATAAATGGCTTAAGTATATCTGAGGCAAGGTACAATTCAACTTAAATGCTTTATCATGAAAATTAAATCCTATTTTAGTTTTGTAACAGGTGTAGGGTATTATATGGTCGGCTTCGCCCGATTATAATTTCTTACTTGTTTTATTTCTGAAGATGCTATCCAGTGGATGGCGAAATATTGAAGAAAATAAATAAATTGAAGAATTTAATAAAACTATGACCTCGAGCTTGATTAACAATTTGATTACTTATTTTTTTCCAAAACTACCTTAAAAATATTTCACCCTAAATAAAAAAAGTTAACTTTTGAATAAATCCTGAAAAAATTAAATTTTGCCAAAAATTTTATCATACAATTTCAATGGCACAATTTGTCATGATTTTGAATAAAAGAATTTGCACTGAAAGACACATCCAAGTCGCACGGTAGCCTATTTTTAAAACACAAATCTAAATTTGTTTCCCTTTTTCTATAAAGGGGTTTTCGATTGATCTGTATTTTTATTCGTTAATTTATTTAATTATTATTTTTCTTTATTAAAACATTTTTAAATTTTTTATTAGTACAACTCAGTGCCATAATGATTTGGAAAAAGAAAGTTATTGTTTTAAGAAAATAAGATGTTGTAAAATTAAATCGACACGTAAATATGGATCAGTTGCTAAATATGTAAATTCAAAGTCACTTAAGTAAAATATATCTAATTACAAGTATTTTCTTAAGTATTTGACATTACTTTAAGCTAACTTTCATATTCACAGTTGGGCCTTATGAATTAATTGAATACATAAATGTAAGTTACATACAACATTTTTCTGACGAGTTACTTCGATCAGCTTTCTTATATTTTAAAAAGCTTTTTTCTTCATTTAAAATATAAAATTTCATAATTTTTACTTCTTCGATTAATGTTATTTCCAAATATTTTTTTAGACTATCCAATTAAGGACTATTTCGAATTGGATTGTTACATTATAAAACCTAACCAATTTTTAAAATGCCAGCACATGAATCTTCCCAAATTAAGTTTTTGTATGACTTTTCTTTACAGATTTCCCTGGCATGTGCTTTGCATCTACCCGCTGCGCAACTGTTGAACCTGGTAAAACATGGGATTTGACACCTTTCTGTGGTCGCTCAACCTGTGTACAAAACGAAGAAGATCCATCCAAGTATAAATAATTCAGCATTCTGATGTTTATAGAAACATGGCTAAACAATATTTTCTTATTCATTTCAGATTATTGGAGTTGGTTGAGGATTGTGGACCATTGCCTTTGGCCAATGACAAATGCAAACTGGATACAGAAAAGACTAACAAAACCGCTCCCTTCCCATACTGCTGTCCCACCTTTACTTGTGAACCTGGTGTAAAATTGGAATATCCCGATATACCCAAAGAGGAACCAAGCAAAAAGGAATAATTTCAAGAGTTCGTTTAATCATCTATAAATTTCGTTTACAGTTGTACATTGAAAATCGTTTTTGCAGTATATATACACTTGTATCTAATTTCCTATCACATTTCCTTTATATGCTTTTAATCTATTTTGTATGTATTTTTTACCTCAAATGGATTTAAGACCTTATATACTAGAAGTTGTATGTAATTAAGACCTAAGAAAATAATAAAATGTAAACACGTGTACATATATTTTTGCCCAATTTATAACAAAACAGAACAAATTTATTTTTTAATATTCAAAAATAAAACACCCAAAAACGATGGCTTCATTTTAGTGCTTATTTTCTGCGTAAAAATTAAATTATTTGTTTTTGAAACCTAAACATTAGGGTTGTCAATTATTAGTGTTTAAACTTTTTCGAATAAAAATTACCAATATTTTTTCATTCGAGTAGTCGATTAAAATTTAAAAATTATTTGATTATTCGAACGAATAACGAATAAATTTTTCTATTCGAATTATTAATTATAATATAAATAAAACTGAATAACACTATGCGATGAAAATATATACCTATGAAATGACACCGTTTTTCTGAAATGTGCTTCCGAGACGTACTGTTAACAGTGTATGTACTGATTTTTATACCCTACACCACTATAATGGGGAGGGTATTATACGTTTGTGCTGATGTTTGTAACACACAAAAATATTGGTCCTACACCCAATACCGATCGACTAAGAATCACATTTTAAGTCGATTAAGACATGTCCGTCCGTCTGTCCGGCTGGCTGTCCATGTAAACCTTGTGCGCAAGGTACAGGCCGCAATTTTCAAGATAATTTGATGAAATTTGGACCAAGCATGTTATTTGGCATAAGGACGAAGCCTAAATGCCGAAGCCGAAAATGGTTGAAATCGGTCCATTATTTCACCTAGCCCCCATACAACCGTACCTCCCGATTTGGGCTTTTTATGCCATAATTACGTCAAATATACTATTATCTCTCTAAAAATTGGCACAAATAACTTTTATATAAGTATAAATGACACTGCAGTTTTTCGTAATGATCGGCCTTTATTTGACCCTAGCCCCCATACAAACCCCCCTTCAAAAAATGTCTTAAACGTCTAAAATTTACTTGTAACCATTTGTATCGCAATAAAACTCAACATAATTAACTATTATTTAAAAATATATCCTATACTCCTATATAAAGCCTCATATACAAAATTTGTTTTTTATCAATAAATTGCTTAAATACTTTGGAATTAACGTAAAATTTAACATAAAAGTTTCTTTGTGAAAAATAAAAATTGTTAAAATATACTCATGGTGTAGGGTATTATATGGTCGGCCATGCCCGACTATACTTTCCTACTTGTTTTTAATTGTACTCTTTTATTCACAATATCCTAATCAGTACGCAAATGTACTGTTTTTTTTACAATTTGTACTGTTTTTTCTTAAAGGCTTTTTTATGCAACAATAAAAACATGTCTCCATTGTTAATATTTTAGATCAAAAAATTTTTTTTCTGTGTAAAAAATCCGAAGATGTTATGAAACGAACACATCATTTTTATTGTTTTAATGTATTCATATTTTCAGAGCAAACAGAATCATTTTTGTCGAAAATTTATAAAAAATTATAAGATATGTATTTTAAAATGCATATTAAAATTTTCAAGTTACATATTACTTAAACAGTCCATAAGATAAATTTAAATTACTAGTATAAGTATGCAGTGTATATTTGAAAAAATTTCCTTTTAGAAATGGATAATAAATCAAGTGTTGTATTCGGCCATGCCGAATCTTATATACCAACCATCAAATGATTGCCCAAAAGGAATGCTTCCTTATAATTATACTTTCATATTTACGAACCGATGCTTTTTATACCCTACACCACATTAGTTGGGGGGGGTCGCAATTTTGAAGATAATTCAATGAAATTTCGCACATGATCTTCTATGGTACCGGAGACGAAGCTTATTGAAAATGGTTAACATCGGTCCATTATTTCACCTAGACCCCATACAACTGAACCCGACGAATAGGGATTTTAAGTTTATAATAATGTTTAATATACTCGTATCTTGACAAAAAGCTGCAAAACCAAGTTCTATACTAGCCTTGATGACTCTCATGAATTTTATAATTATAGGGTCTCATTTGACATAGCCCCTATACAAATCCCCCTTCAAAATTTGACATAAATGTCCACAATTTTATTCAACAATAAATGGCTTAAGTATAATTCAAGGCAAGGTGCAATTCAACTTAAATGCTTTATTATGAAAACTAAATCACATTTTATTTTTGTAACAGGTGTAGGATATTATATGGTCGGCCTCGCCCGACTATAATTTCTTACTTGTTTTATAATTTATTAGATCTATGTTGAATTTCATCATCATATATCGATATTAATATGAACATCAGAGTAATATTTGAAAGAGGGCATTAATAGTAATGCCAGTTAATACTGTTTTCCAGTCCACATGTATGGGGGCTATCCGAAAACTTAGACCGATATTGCCCATTTTCAATACCAAACAAACCTTACCTGTTCGGCCTTTATCGTGCTTTCAACAGACAGACGGAAGGACAGATATGGCTAAATCGTCTTAGAATTGAATAAGGACCCAGAATATATATATACTTTTGTTGGAATATATATACTTGATGGTGGGTATAAAAAAGTGATAAATATCTTTAAAAAGTAACTTTGAAAAGAAAAAAATAATATGTAACATTACACAGTGAGACAAAATAAACGAAAATCAAAATACCTGGGAAGTGATACTATTTTTCTGAAAGGTGGATCCGAGTAGAATAAGAATCTGTTTTTGAATTATGTTTTTGTAAAAAAGTACTGTTTTTCAATAATTGTACTGGTTTTTTGTCCTCAGTGTACTGTTTTTCCCAATTGCAAATCTGGCTACCGTAATTACAAGAATCATATTTTGAAATTTTCCAAACACCTCCAAGATCTTAAGATGAGGTATAAAACGGGTTTTCGTACATTAATGAACTTATAAATAAGTAACTTAGTTGAATCTCAAACGATTTTAAATTTCTCAACGGATTTAGAAAGTGTAAGCTGAGGGCTTTTTAGAGATATTCTGGATAAAACGCAAAATCGAATCTAAATCTAAGACTTAAAGAACCAAATTAATGAATGTTTATCTGTTTCACTCATTTGAAACATTTTAAAAACGAATGCAGACAACCACTTTTAAAACTGGAAGCATTATATTTTTAACATAAATATTTCAAAATATAATTTTTTAAATTGCATGAAATAGTAATGATTGATTTTGTCATTCCATTTGTAACACATTGAAATATTGCTTATAGATCCACAAAAGTATATATATTCTGGGTCCTTCTTAAAATATCAGAAGATCTAGCCATGTCTGTCCGTCCGTCTGCCTGTTGAAAGCACAATATCCCAGCAAGAAATACTGCTTGCGTGGAAGCAATTTTGTAAGGGAGACTAAATCCGAAATCACCCACTGGTGCGCATTAAAAGTACATAATTTTTGTTTGAGATGAGCCACTTGGAAGCAATAGGTTCTGAATCCAAAAAGCGCTTATTTAATAGCAACTAGTTGCACTTATATCATGTATTTTATATTTTATTAGATCTGTGCTTTATGTATGCGCTTCATTAATGCTCCTATGTAAGGCATTATTGAATATATTCTATTTATACGTATTTCCAATAGGCTTCGTAATTTTATGATAAAATATCAAAAATTATCCAGATTTAGAAATAAGTTCCAAAAATCGATTTTCTAAAACTTTTCTGCAACACCGACATAATAAATAATCAATAAAGTATGCATTCTAAGTAAGCATACTAATAAGATATACCAGAACTTTAAAAATTACAAAATCACTGCCTTACTTTATTGCATTTTGGAAGCTTTTTTTAATTAAGTAAGCATTGTATTGCTTCTACCCAATTTTATCGCTTACATTTTCTGATAATTTTTTGATGGGTAGAGTCCGTACGGAATGAGCTAGAGCTTTAACGGGCATATCTGTTGTAAAACTACGAGTATAGCGTTGAAATTCCACGCAAATAAGTCCCCTTCAAATGTCTTTAACGCTCATTAGGTACTGGCTTAAAAATACTAGTGTAGCAAGGAAATTTTATATAAATAAGTCTCTTATGATCTAAAACCTCTCCATACTATGGACTCCATAGTTGACCCTACCCATATAAGGTCCCCTTCAAAAAATGATATTAACGATAATTAGTGTATTAAAAATAAACATTTGTAAAGACTGTTGCAGTTGCATTCATAAAAAATGCTTATTTTAGATTTAAATCACACAATAGTTAAAGTACACTTTAGACTTAAAAGCCATTAATAAAATTGTGGTATTCATAAACAAATAATAAATCTACATTAACTATTGTGCTGTTTATTGTTTAACTTGGCAGCACTGTACAATTTGGCTGTCATTTTCTGTGTTAGTGTTGCGAACAATTAGGATAAAATATTAGTTGAGTCGGTTTTCTTAATTTTACATTTTTGGTTATAACACATTTTTGAAAATAAGAACGAACTTTTAAGAAAAATAAATGTATACATGGCTACAATAAATATATATTTAGTTCAGATGAATGAATATAACATATATATTTTTAATTATAATTAAAAGTATTCGAATAACGAATATTTTGTGACAAAATAAACATCACTATGCACATTTGTTATTTTTACTTATTTTTATAGCAATTTTTAATAAAATTTTGCAAATACTGATAAATTTCTTTGATAAAAGACTACATTTTATTGCCGGAGAAGATATTTTGCATTGATAGAACACTAATCAATATAATTTACACTCTTAATTACTTCATGGCTTTATATTTAGCGAATAAACTATGAAAAAGACAGATAAAATGATTGTGGCCATGATTTGATTGACAGGCGGGCATTTCCAAATTGCCAAAAATAGTATTGACCAACTGGAATACTGTCAAATATTCATCTATTAATCCAATAATGCCTAGATTTTAGTTTTTTCATCAAAATAGAAATTTTTAAAATTTATTTGGAATTTTATTTACAAATTTGTAAACGTTAAAATTACAATTTTTAGATTTCATTTCAGAATAAAACATGATTAGTTTTCGTCTTCAACCTAAAATTAATGAAAAAAGCTTAATCAGAGACAAAATTTGTAAGAATTCAACTTATTGTTGGCTTAAAGTAGGGTCGAGCGTACAATAAATTTTTTCTATT